TGAAAAGTCTAACAAATATCACTATTATCAAAATATTAAATTTTAAAATAATATAACTTAGATGTCGGTTTTTAATAAAATTAATATTTTTAGAATTTTCTTATCAAGATCTATAAAATAAGATTCATATTGCCTATGAAATTCTTTATAAAAAAAAATATTACCGTTAAAATTGATGTAAACAGTAACAGTAAGATATTACTCTGTTTGACAGTAATATGTTACTCTGTCTCACAGTAACATGTTATTCTGTTTGACAATTACTCTATTTGACAGTAATATATTACTCTATTTGACAATAACATGTTATTCTGATTCACAGTAATATATTATTCTGACAATATTATTTAAAAAAAAAGAAGATATTTTATTTTGTCTTTACTCAATTATGTATTTTTTTCTTAAGAGATTTATAAAAAATAAACAAATTAAATTATCCTTTTCATCAAATAAGGATCTAATAAAAGGATTTTGGCTAAATTTTCCTAATCTTTAATAGTGAGTAGCAATCATCAGTAAGACTAACATCTTGGTTGTTTTCCAAAAGCTTTTACATACTGTGTGCTTCCAACCCCCCCAATATCTATGTGCCTTTTGTATTTGAATCCCACGTAAAAGAAAAAAGAGGCCTTCCTTGATAATGATTGATCTCCGGACCTTTTAATTCTGGTGTTACATTAGATTTTCCTAAAGAATTGTTGAATTTTTATAAAAGTGGGATGTGTCTAGTGGTTTTGGGATACAGTACTGTTATGAATTTAGAAAATTTATTCAGAAAAATAGTATGTGATTGAGATTTGTTTCAAGTGTGAGTCTTACTGTGTTGAATCTAGACCATATATCATTTTTTGGAATAAAATTCTTGACAGATTCATGATTCCTACCTTTTTTGTATACCTAATTTTAGAGGGTGTGCATAGTAATGTCTCTCTTTATACCCGATGAGATGAAACCTTTTTGTATGCATCCATGAATCATAAGAGTTCTCAAAAAAGTAAAGGAAAAAAATCCCAAAAAAACTCACTTTTTAGGATACCAAAAACTTGATTTCACCCAAAAAACTGTGTATTTTTTTGGTTTTTTAATTTATGACTTACCCACTCAAAAAAAAAAAAAAACTTGATTTCAAATTCTTGAAAACTATTTTTTGCACTAAAATAAAAACAATGAGTATTATCAAATTTTTTATTATTTTTGTTTTTGAAAAACACAAAATGAAAACGAAGAAAATGAAACACAATCCATTAAGTTTGCATAATCATTCAAACTCATTATCTGTTTTGCTTAATCACAGGATTGAGCCAGGATATTAAGAAATTTCAAGCAGGGACATCTCAGAAGCTACAAAAGATGGAGTCAAGGTCAGAGTAATAGCTGGTGAGTCCTTAGGAACCGAATCACCAGTATACACAAGAACACTCACTATGTACTTGGACTTCACTCTCAACCCAGGGTCCCATCTTCATCAACCAATACCCATTTCATGGAATGCATTTGTGTATGTTTTGGATGGTGAGGGCATTTTTGGCAACTCAAAATCATCGCTTGTAACACCTCACCACCATCTTCTTCTTTTGGGCTCTGGGGATGGGCTTGAAGCTTGGAACAAGTCATCAAAGCCGCTAAGGTTTGTGCTGGTTGGAGGTGAACCGTTGGGTGAACCAGTGGTGCAGTTTGGGCCATTTGTGATGAACAGTCAAGAAGAGATTGATCGGACAATTGAAGATTATGAGAATTATAGTAATGGTTTTGAAAAAGAGAGGCACTGGAGATCTGAAGCCATGATTGATCCTGTTATGTACATTTTTTAACTTTTAATTTTTATTTTGGTAATTGTTTGATTTCAAGTGATGAATGGAAAATGAGTTGACAATGTATTGAAATGTAACTCTCTAAGTTAATGAATGACTAAAGATGAATTATGATGTATTTTATTTGTGTGCCATTATTCATGAGAGAGTTCTCCCACCTAGGGTAGTTTTCCAAGTTAATTAGGTATTTTTAGCGTATCATGCTACTTCAATTGTGCTAATATTATATTTTAATACGCAATAGTGTTAAAATGCTATAATTGTGCTCTAACTATATATGCATGATATGATTGTGTGTATTCGCAATCTCTTTAAATTTAATTATAATTAAAAAATAATAATTCAGTCATTAATATTTTTGGATTGAATACACATAAACTGTATTTTAAATTAAAATTATTTAAATAAAAAATAATTGTAAAACTCCACCAACCCAAAAATAATTAGAAAAGCAGTAGCCAAACTGGATTTGCATACCCTAAATAAAATTAAATAGACAAATAAATACACTGACCTTTAAAATTTGGAATAAATATAAATAGTTTTATAATTTTGGCATACGCACATTAACTTTCCTTTTGATTTCCGATGTTTTGATTGTGTCAACTTGATCCTCAAGACACAATTTAAATATTAGAGATCAAATTGATACAGGATTGGTATTTTAGTGATCAAAATATAATTAAAACAAAGAAGACAAAAAGTGGAGGATTGGGACATATATTGTAGGGGTGCAACTCAAGCATTCCAAGCCCAACTCAAGTTGTACTGAATGCACGGACCCGCCCAAACTCAAATTGTAACCCGATGTTCAAGCTTGACCCGAATTAAGTCCGAATTGCACAAAAAATATTTTTTGGCATTTAATTTTTACCAATATACTCATCTTACTTCAAAAATCACAAACATGTGAGGCAACATGAATGAACAAGTAAAAGTATAATGGAATTGAAAGAGTATTAAGTCAGCATTAAAACTCCAAAATGGAAATTAAAGTACCCAGATGTGAAAGCAAAATAGCAAGATCTTAAAAGCATAGCTCTGAATTAAACCCAAACATCCACTATTTTCTGCAGCAACCTCTAACGTGGAACTGCAGGGCGATCAAGTCGACCTATGTGAAGAGCTACTCCTTTCTCTGCTAACCACTTGCAGATGTCCAGTTCACTGCTCATAGTAGGGGGAAAACAATAGCAAAAAGGTCAATTAAGGTTGTTATAATTGACATGAATGACGTTTTCTTGGTTTTATATGAATAAAATTACCGACTGAAACACTTAACTGGGTAGGAATTGGATACAAGATAGTGTCCCATGTCCCATATGGAATGTCACTGATCTTCCTGCTGTAATATGTTTAGCCAAAATGTAAGGTTGGAATCGGAAGTTTTCAAACTAAACTCATCAAAAACATAGTTCGGTATTTGAAGCAAGTGAAAGTAATTTTTGAACTACTTCCCACCATATTGTGAGAAAAACAAGGCCGATACACCTAGAAATGATTTAAAATTTAAATACAATTATCATCCATATGATAAACATCAGTCTGCTAAATACAACAAAAGCATGAGAATTGGGCCAGAAAGTGTTTGGAAGCTATGCACCACCACGAGGCGAAGGCAAATGACTAATCTACAACATAACCCTTTTCTTATCCTTTTTTGTTTTTGGTTCAAGGTACATTTGCACATCATAACTTTACTAGTGGTGGGTGCAAGCGTTTGCAATTCTATATTTACATTTTTGGATAGTTTGATGATTGAGGAAAACTGATTAACAGTTTAGACGGGTTTGATGAAGGAGAAAAATCATCCTAACAGTTATTGGATGTGACAGTTACAGGATGAAAAGGGGTGATAATTACTAGGTGGGAAGGGTATTCTTGGAAAAGTAAAAAACGTGACATCTTTTACACTAGCTCAGGTGTATGTTTATATAATAGTACAGATGAAGAGACAATCAGATATCAAATAGGAAAATGTTTAAAAAAAAATCACATTCATTGACATTAGAGTGGTTCTTTTTCTATGTTGCAAGCATCACATGATGTTTAAGCTAAATTAGACAATTTGAGTAGTTTTATGAACTATGAGATAATGTAGAAAGTAATATTACTTAAGAGTTAAGAGTGGATCTTTTAGGAACAAACCATAGATTTTAACATGCAACAGTTTTAGACGTGTTTCATTGACATTAATGAACCTTTTGAGAGAGGAAGAGAGTAAAATTATGGTTTGGAAGTCGGTCAATTTTGTAAATAAACAATTAACACTTTGAATAAGGCAGTTTCTCATCTAAAGCAGATGATTAGAGAGGGAACAGAACATATGGTATTACTAAACAAAACGAACGTGACAGTGATAAGGAACATTTATAGAGCATGAGAAGAAAATGCTAAAGGGGCATTATTTATGTCGAGTGGAAACAGCACTAGAGAAAATAAAAAGAACAAAAGGCTTAAAAGGACATACTTAGTTGGAGAAAAAAAAAACACAAATGGAATTGACTTAAAGCAAATTTATGGAACACGAGACCTAAAAGCCTCTTTACACTTGCATCAAGCATTCCAGCATAAAGCATTCAGAGACAATATCAAAGCAGACAGTGATAGCTCAACATGAGATTAATTAAGCCAATTCAAAGAAAAAATGTACAGTGCATGTAATCAAACATAAGATTTAAACATCCATCTACTGCGGGAGTCCTAAATCATATAGATACAATTATGGTTCGATTATTTTGTACATTTCAGAGACAGAATAGTGTGCGCATGGCTCATATGTCCATCTGCACAGAGGACACACAACAAGGAGGCTAATTCAAGGGCAATACTTCTACACATTAATGAGTGCAACAAGAACTATAACGATAATACATGAATATTTAGTAAATACCATTGTTGTCAAATTGTGAATCGTTTTGCTAAAATAGTAAATCATGAATCGTAAGATTCACTTTACTTAGCATAATCTATAATTTTATATATGTATACACATATAAAATACACTTACAATGTTTAAAATGAAATAAATATCAATACAATAAGTTGAGCTCTACCATTTCTTTTTCTTTTTCTTTTTTGTTTTTTAACAAAAAATATGCTATTTCATACATTATGCAAACAAGCTGAATCGCTTGAATTATAGTGAATCATAGTGAATCATAGTAAATCGTGAGATTCACTCAAATTAAGATTCAACTACACAAAGCGAATCGTTTTGCTTGCAACTCATATTGAATCATAAATCGTAAGATTCTGACAACCATGGTAAATACCCAAAAGCATAATTAGGCATGTGAGCAAAAAAATCCTAGTAAAATAATAGAACAAGAATGTCACCTCTCTGCACTTTCGTCGACCACATCAACTCTAAGCAAAACATAAAAAAATGGTGTTCAAACTTAAATAAAACTAGGCATTCCCACACTATAGACAGTGCAATTAACAAATGTTACATTATTACCTCTTTACACTTTTATCCACAGCAGTGTTGCTGCTGCACAAAGAATACAACGATATAGTTAAAAGCGAAAAACAGTAAATCAGAATGGGCTAAGGAAAAATCAACAGATTACTATTTTCACCTTCATTAGCTGCAACATTCCTAAGTGAAACTAAGCTTCCAACATGAACAATTGCTTTACAGACATTAGTAGCAACCGGAAGCCCAAAAAGTCCGAGGTGATAGAAAAATTTTCCAACTGGGTCGTAACAAACAATGGCAACAGAGTCATACAGCATCAGAATTTCACCATTGTGGGTAAGCTTCAATGGTTTAAAATAGACTCTCGTATCCTGCTGCACCTCCAAGCTCCTGGGTCGCTTGATAACGTACTGTTTGGTCCAAGAACTCTGTACCCCATAAGCCTTCATCATCCATATCTCCATTCGATCACTGAAATAATTGTCGAAAATGCATAATTCATCACCCAAAACCCCCAAATTCAAATTCAATCGCCGCAAAGAGGTCCGGCTCTCTGAACTGAATTGAGTCTGTGGTGGTGGAAGCGATCGAAATTCCTCACTAGCAACATCAAAAGCACCAATGAACTCACAAGTTTCAATTCCGATATCCCTGGGTCGCTTGATAACGTACTGTTTGGTCCAAGAACTCTGTACCCCATAGTCCTTCATCATCCATATCTCCGTTCGATCACTGAAATAATTGTCGAAAATGCATAATTCATCACCCAAAACCCCCAAATCCAAATTCAATCGCCGCAAAGAGGTCCGGCTCTCTGAACTGAATTGAGTCTGTGGTGGTGGAAGCGATCGAAATTCCTCACTAGCAACATCAAAAGAACCAATGAACTCACAAGTTTCAATTCCGATATCTTGATCAGTCATCAACCAGTGAAGAACCCCATTCAAATACGCCTCCGATTCTCTCGCTCGAAGTGGGTATGGTACCTCTCCAATCCTTCTCCATTCCCCACTTCCTCCAACGGTGTAAATCTCTCCTTCCATCCTAAACGAAACCGTACCATTTGTTGTTGTTGGGTCGTCTTTGACAGTAACATAAAGCATTATTATCACCTTGTATCGATCAGTACTCTGATCGAATCCGAACCCAGAAACAATATCGAACCCAGTTTCGATTTCGGACTTGGGAAGAGTCATGTACTCGCCGATAATGGGGTTGCAGATGTAAACAGGGTCGAAGTACAAGGGTTCGGATAAACAGAGCAAGCCATTGATGGACCCAACGAGATCGAACTCGAGGTTGGAACGGTTGAACTTGGTGGAGATGGTAGTGACGGCGTCGTTTGAGTGGCAAGTAGTGGGTTCGGCCAAGTAGAGATCGTATGGGAGGCCGTCTTTGGGGGTCTTGGTTTGAAGGATGAGGCTCGGAGATGAAGCTCGGGAGAGGTGCATTTTTGTGAAAATGGGTTCGGTGGTTATGGTGCGCCAGAGCTAGCAGACGCAGCGGCAACGAGAGAGGAACCTGATGGGGAGTCTGGAGAGGACGTCGGTGATGATGAGTCTGGGTAGGTCGGACATGGTTGTTGCGGTGGTTTGTGGTGGTGGGCTTGTTTGGTGGTGGGGCTTTGTTTTCCGGCTAGAGTGAGCCAAGGTCCTCTCCTTGCAGCCTCATACTTGCGCTCGTCCTTACAGACCTTCGGATTTATTTTTAGGCCTAATTTTAATAATTCGAACCGTTCATATTTTATGATTTATTCAGTATATCATACCTGTAAAAAATCAAGTTGATCGGATATCAGAAAGCATATGTTCGGAAAACTATTTTTAAATTTTTTAAAAAATAGTTTTTAGTTCAATTTTTCGAACACATACTTTCTGATATCCGATCAAATTGATTTTTTACAGGTATGATATACTGAATAAATCATAAAATATGAATGGTTCAAATTATCAAAATTAAGCCTAAAAATAAACCCAAAAACCTGCAAAGACGGGAACAGGTACAAGAGCCGCAAGGAGAGGATCCTCATTTTGTTTCTTTTCACCATATATATGCGGGGTAAATCTTTCATTTTGTTTCTTTTCACGATATATATGCGGTGCAGGTGGGAATAAAATATTTTTGAATTCACCAAGTTTGGATCAATAAATGTTTAAATTAAGGGAAAAATTATGAATACACTTCTCAAAACATGTGCATTATGAATTTTTTTTTTTTTTTTTTTTATAGAAATATTATTAATTGATCTAGAAACATTACATGGCAACACATTTATCAATCACAATTTACTACATTCTCTCATATTTTTTAACGCTGTCACGTTTGTCTTGTTTAGTAATACCATATGTTATATTCCTTCTCTAATCGGTTGTTTTAGATTTGTCTACTTGGTTACGTTTATTTGGCGAATTAGGTTTGATGAAATTATTAATGAGTGGATGATTAGAAAAGAGATTGTTAATACAAGGATTGTTAGTGAGAGAATTAAGTAAAAATGTGGTTATGAGTAGGGGTGAGCATGGTCCGGATTGGACCGGATTGAGGTAAAACCAGGACCAATCCGTTATTTACGGTTCCTAAAAAATTGGAACCAATCCAATCCATTTAAATCATGGAACCAATCCGAACCAATCCATTTAAATACGGATTGGATCGGTTTAGGACCACGGATTCACATAATTAAATAACAAAAATATATATATAACACTTGAATTTCATAAAAATATAAACATAGCGCTATATTAGTTCCATAATAGCAACATGTTTTTCTATAATAACGACATACTGTTCTAGAATTTAAACAACCATAAGAAAACTGGTTTCACCATAAGTATTTAGACCATTGCAAATTAAAACTTAAAACTAACAAACAAAAGTAATAAAAGAAGATATTATACGGTTTTAGGTTTGAGTTTAGATTTTACATAGAATAAAAAAAGATACTATGAGGGAGGATGTATAATAAAAATATAGACTATTTGTATACGGTCTGGATCGGTTCCAATCCGAAACCGTGGGATTCAATCCGGAACCAATCCGTGAACTACGGATTTTTAATTATTCAATCCGGAACCGAACCGCGGATTCAAAAAACCAATCCAAACCTATCGGATTGGACTGGACTGGATCGGATTACGGATTTCACGGATTCCTTGCTCAGCCCTAGTTATGAGGGTTGGTTTGGGAAGTGGGTTGCCTTTTTGGCTATTTTAGCATGGGCTAAAAAACTTAGTTTGGGAAGAGCTTTTTGGCTTTTTTGACTTTTTTTGTGAGAGAAGAGTGTAATGATTATGGGTTGGATGTGATGTTTTGTTTGTTGTGGCTAAAATAACCTATTTTGTCTTTTGTGGCTAAAATAGCCAAAAAAAACCACAAAACCACTTCCCAAACGGTGCCGAGCTTATTTATATTTTACCCTAAAATATTATTAAAAAATGAAAAAATTATTTATAAGTCCTATTAGGAAGACTTATGCTACATATGGTCCTACTAAAAAACTTATGTTCCTGTAAGTCATGTGGGACGTTTGTTGATACATTTACCCTCAATATTAGTCGTTAATATTATAAATAATAGTAAAACCATATATAAGAAATTGAATGTTACCATAGATCATATCTATATAAATGTAACGTAACGTGACACTCACATAAACGTAACGTGACATATCTACATAAACGTAACGTAACGTGACATCTATATAAACGTAACGTGACACCTATGATCTATGCCAACATTTAATTTCATATATAGGAAATTGAATGTTACTATAGATCATATCTACATAAACGTAACGTAACGTGACACCTACATAAACGTAACGTGACACATATACGTAATGTGACACTTACATAAACGTAATGTGACATATTTACATAAACGTAACGTAACGTAATGTGACACCTATATAAACGTAACGTGACACCTATGATCTATGGTAACATTCAATTTCCTATATAACATTCAATTTCATATATAGGAAATTGAATGTTACCATAGATCATATCTACATAAACGTAACGTAACGTGACACCTATGATCTATGGCAACATTCAATTTCCTATATAGGAATATAGGAAATTGAATGTTGCCATAGATCATATTTATATAAAACGTAACGTGACACCAACATAAGCCAGCAACATTTTCACATTCAATTTAAAAAGATAAAAACTCATTAAGTTTGCGAAACGTAACGTGACACGTTACGTTACGTTTATGTAAGTGTCGCGTTACGTTACGTTTATATAGGTGTCACGTTACGTTACGTAACATATATGTGGGTGTCACGTTACGTACGTTTATGTAAGTGTCACGTCACGTTACGTTTACGTAGGATCTTGTGGAATACATTCCTATTTAAATAAGACTTGAGACTCTATAAGAAATTACACAAGACTTAGCCTAGGATAAGTGTCTGAAAAAGAACTTATAAATAAGTCTCCCTTAAAAAATTCATTCCCTATTTTAAAAATTATTTTTTCATCTACTTTCCCCCAACAAACTCCCTATTATTTCTCTATTCTATTAACAAACTCTCTATTTTTTCTCTATTCTATTAAAATATAATTTTTAATTATAATTTTAAAAAAAATAAAAATCGTAAATGTACACTGCAGTCTCTAAACAAAGCAAAGCAAAGCCAATATATATATATATATATATATATATAAGGGAGCTACAGTGACTCCTTACAAATAAAGAGTCACTAAGACTAGTAAATCCGTACTAGGTATAAGAGCTAAAGTAGTAGATCTAGAGCTAACTGAAAAGTTACTTCGAAATAATCGATTCATTTTGATTTTATAAAATTAATTCAATTTTCTTAAGTTTGATAACTTATCATGGTTTCACATACTATGTGTTCGCTCATACCTTCTCCAGGAACCCTTATATCTATTCACGGCCTATCCTAAAGACTTACAGAAAATCTGGAACAAAAGGTGGGTGGCTACTAACAGAGTGGAAAACAAAGATAAGTTAACAAGAAATAAGAAGAATGGAATTAATTTGAAATGACTAGACAATAAGCATATATCATTTATGAACTTGGCTTTGATACCAAAAAGGAAATTAATTCATCACAATAAATTAATTTGTATAATTAATTTGGGAAAGTTATGGAAGTATGAAATTGAGTTGGAAATAATGAAATTGGGTAATTATGAGATTTAATGGTGGAGTTGGAATGATTAATCACTCACCCTTGAAATTGTAGATAATTTATCTGTTTGATAATTTATTATCTGTTTAGAAATAATTATTTTGGGCTATCGATGGAGGATAGTCTTGATTGTTGTAGACATAACATGATGATTAAGTGAATTAAAACTAATCAATTGAGTACGTCATTGAATATGACGGATGGAATAACACATCGAATGTGCTTGGCTTGATCATTGTATATGATCAGTGTTTAAATACATTGTATATGTATATTGTTTGGGAGGAGATATGAGATTTACTCCAGGATTTGAGAGGAGATAGGGGATGTACTCCACGGTTTGGGAGGAGATAGGGGATGTACTCCTAAATCGGATTTGGGAGGAGATAGGGGATGGACTCCAGTGATAACTAAGTTGACCAGAGTGTCCAGGGTGAAAGTCCTGAAATCCTAATTGCATTTGCATAACGTAGATGAATTGAAGTATTGAAATGATCATAATATGAGTTATAGTCTCATTCGAAATTGAATTGTTGAAGTATTGTTGATATAAGTGTAGTCTCATTATGAACTGCTTGGCTGAATAGGGAACCATATCTATGAATTGGTTTGGATAATGAAATGGAAAAAGATGTATGTTTGTTTATATGAGTTAAACATTTATCAAATGTCAATGTTTTAGTTATTGCTCATATTATGTTTAGCATATTTCTACTGGGCGTTGGCTCACTCTATATAGGACATCATTTTCAAGTTTAGGTGTTATGCCACCTCGAAGGATGTAGCTTGGAAGGTCTTGGGAGTTGAAGACTCTTTTGATTATTTTTGTTGTTCTCTTTTGGTATTACCTGTAAATCCAAGCCAAGGGCTAAAAATATATTTGAGTTAGTACTCTCTTTTGTGGCCAAGTGTTGGCTTGGAAAGTTGTAAGCCCGCAGGGCATTTACTTTTGTTGTCAACATGTAATATTTTTGTAATGAATACTCTGATAAATAGAAATATGCTTTATTTTCACATGTTTATGGATGTCAAGAATGTTGGGTTTATATGTATTATTTTGAGGGCGTTACAGAAAGCAACACATAAATAAAACAAGTTAAATAAACTAAATTGAAACAACTAAAATAAAATAGATACAATATTTTAAAACTGTAGCAAATATTAGTTTATGGTGACTTATAAGGAAGCTGATGAGAGTGGTATAAGGGAGTTCCAACCCCCTAAAATAGGTAAGGGAATGATTTAGGAGGTCAGCTGAGGATGCTTTTCTGATGATAGTGTAGGAGATAGGGGTGCTCGCGGTTCAGTTTTGGACGGTTCGGTTTGCGGTTTGAACTCGCTCGTATATATGTGGTTTGGGAAAAATTGAACCCGCAACTACACACAGTGCTGGTTGCGGTTTGTGTGAATAAGGTTTGCGAATGTGTGGACGGTTGCGGGCAGTTTATGGATTTGACTTTTTTCTTTAAAAA